AAGGAGAGAGAGAGAGAGCCCTTTCTTCTCCCCTTTGATTTATACCCACTTTCCTTGGGTCCGTCCTCTAGGTCGACCCACAGACCTACGTATCCCATGTACAGGGAGGGGTAAGGTGTTTCATGGGATGATGTCACTAGCATGATCATGACAGCCCTTGTTAGCATATTGAGGGGTGTCAACTTTAATATGCATTTCGTGGATAATGAAGCAAAGTTCGTTCACTGGACACATGGCCCTTGAAATCTGCCCAGGTGCCCCAGGGCAGAGCCGTCCCATCTCCACAGGGCTCTCTCTCCCAGATACATCGGGCAACCTTATCAGCTTCTGCCTCCACAGAAAGCACCCTGTGACTCATGGTTTTGTCTTGGGAGTGTTTGAGGCAAATCTTCAATCAGCCTCAACTTTTGCTTTCCCAGGCTGTTTGTCTTAGTTTTTCACAGGCCTGGTTGCTCGGCTCTCACACTGGTTTAAAGTGGGAATTTGGGTTTTTAGATGATGCTTTTTTTCCCCATGCTTACGTCTATGTCCTGATTATGCATATGTGAACAAACACTCCTGAACTGAGTTTACTTGTTTTGTAGTGACACAAAATGATGCATCTGTAGGCAGAATGAAACTACCAGTGTTTTATTTTAGTTAAGGCAAAAGTATGAACTAAGTAAGTATATTTGCATTTAAAGACAAAATCATTCACATGACCAATGATGATTTAGCCCAGAATACTGCGTACACGAGAATGAAAAATATGTGGAGAATACTTTGCAGTTCAAGTAATTTGTTCTGAAATACTGTTTTTTACATCTTTAAAAATTATTTTCAGTAGTCACATATTTTTAAAACCCCAAAGGATAAAATACCACAACGTCAGTTTCCTTGTTTAAAAAAAAAAGCATAAACACATATCATCTGAGTAGGCTGGCATATCCCTTTAAATTAACAGGGTTTTTTTGATGTTTATTGCTTGAAAAAACAAAAGAGGATGTTTCGAGACAGGAACAGGCAATCAAATTGAAATCCCATTGAAAGATTAAAATGACTTAATTAACTTCAGTTAAACTACTTTATATTTAACCTGTTTTGAATTGTAATCAAAATCTGCTCTTAAATTTCTCAAAGCACAAGCATTTGAATCTATAGAAAGGGGTAAGCTGTGCTGTTATTCCTTCTCTTTATTTCATAGAGATCACTGAGTACAAAATTTTAATTTCAGGGGAAATCATGTTTTTGCAGTATTAATGTTAGATTCTGAAATGTTGCCAAAAATATGGTCAGCAGGTAACTTGCAATGTTGAAACATGATCCTGAATTTATTGAGAGTTCCTTTTATCCTTTCTGGCTTAAAAATAAAATTGTAGCTTCCAAGAGTTAAATTTCTAAAGATACTTTGGTACCTAAAGAGGAATGATAGTTTTAAAAGTGTCTGATTGCCACAGGGGTAGTATATCTGATGCTTCTGAAAATATTTATTGTAAGTGCTCAAAGAATCTTAACATCTGGTTGATAATATCTCTTAGGATTAGCTCTATAGTTTTAACATAGATAACCATGTATGGTTCTTACATACTTTTTTACCAATGAATATTTATGGTCTCTGAAAATTTTAGAAACATTAGCATTTTTTTCACAATACTTTTGGGCTTTTGTTGCTTGATAAACCAGTAAAGGTTTATACAGTGGCTTGCAGCAGTTTCTTTTCAGAAATGATGTCAGGGGAATAGTCTGTATCCCCTTGTCACAGAAATGTCAGGGTAAGTGAGGATGTGTCAAAAATAAGTGCTGCAGCTAAAACAATACATTTGCAGGAAAATTGAGTGACACTGATGCTGTGACAATACTCTGTTGTAATGACAATCACTATTATGCCTGATGAATAACAGACGTGGTTGATGGATGATGCAGCAAAAGAATGACAGCTTCTTACTGCATGGTCTCAGCTGGAGTCTCTTTTGCTTTTGTAGCAAATCTGTCATACTTCTTCCTCTGACGGTGCCTTTATGTCCCATCCAGCAGGGTGTATCATTTGGGTGACTTGGGAGAGCAGTAAAATAGAGGTTTCTGAGGATGCTGCTATGATTGTGCCACAGGAAGGTAAACTTGGAACTAGCTTCAGCGGAGCTAGCATTGGTAGCTACAGCAGTAGACATGGTGACACATGCTTCGTGGTGATAATGATACAGAACATAGCCAGGCACGCTGGTGGGGCTGGTGCAGGTTAAACAGAAGCCTGCCATAACATTTCTCTGGGTTATTGTTTTGTTTGGGGGGTTTTTTATGCAGCAGGTAGGCTAAAGCTAGTATGTGCAGGGCAACTGAATTGTACCCGTTGTCTCATTTAGCCCTGTAGACATACCTGCAGACAAACAAACCTGTCATGCTGTCTTGAATTTTGTTTTTATATTGGGCTGCAGTAAAAATACCATAGTTAAATTAAACTCCAGCAGCTTTGTGGTTTATTGATGAGCAAGTAAGCCAGAATGGTTTGTTGGTGTGCTTACTAGTAAGACGAATAACAGTGATTGGTTAATGTAGTAAAAACATAACCCCCCACATCCTCTTGTTTTTACAGGGCTAGTTAGACTTCGTTCTGTTGGAGAATGGCTTGCAGAGCAAGGTCATGGGTCTGTTCAGGAGCTGATTACAGACATCTGAGGTAAACAAAGGAAAAAACCCAGGGTACACTTATGTTAACAAAGAAGGAGATTCAGGGCTCAGTTATGCTAACAAAGAACTGTTATATTAACAAAGAGAGAAACTGAGGTACAGAGTGGCCTTGATTATAATGGAAAACAACCTTGGGAAAGAAAGCAAGTCAGAAGAAGGAGGGTGTTGAGACATACCTGAAATACCACAAGGGATTGGGATATTATAATGTAACCTTTTAGATGTATCCAATAGATTTGTGAGTAGTATTGTAGAGTGATTATATAAGATGTGATTTCTTTTAATAAAGTTGAAGCTTGCTCTATCATTCACATTGAATTGACTGCTTGCTTCTTCTGTCCACTGCATCGTTCAAGACCGTTTCCTAGGCTGCAGGGGACAAAATATGTACGTAATGTCACAGCTACTGATGATAACTCCTTGGGAGGGCCCTATTCTCTTACAAGTACTGCCCAGGTTGTTGTGAAAATTGATGATGTCAACAATAACAAACCTGTCTTTCAGAAGGTAAATATATGAGGCTTGGTCATTTGTATTATACTGTGTGGTGAATATTTAAGACTGTGTTATCACTGCAAGTGATACAGCAGATGAGCTCTTCAAGGAGTGGTCCACTTTTGGCTCTCTTTGTGTCCTGATGCTACTGTCTTCCTCATCTCTTCCATCTCTCTCCTAAGACTTCATGGTTTGTTCTCCTCTTGTGGCAGAACAGCCCCTGTGAGCACTGTCTCTTCCCTGAACCACATCTCATTGCTGGCATTTTAGAATATAAGGTTGAGGGAATAACTTTTGGAGGTTCTGTGTGACATGTGTGAGGAGGAATTGATAGGTGTAGCTATCTGTGCAGTGAATTTGTTCCAGAATACCTTTCTAAATTACAAACGCTTCTTCTCATGATTGTATGTCTGGAACTGATGAAAGAGAAGAATGAAAGTTTTTTAGCTTAATTTATAAAGTATTGTAAAAAAAAAAAAAATAATTAAATGCTTGAATATGTTTTCAGAATGTTAATTCATATTAAAAATCCGCTGTTGAAAAATTTCGAATTTGATGCTGATGGGCAATGTTGCATATTTTGAAAAGTCAGTGACTATTCATGTCAGTCTTTGAAAGTGTCAGTCATTTGTCCTTGGCAAAGTTACTTTGGGTAGAAATTGCTTTTTGACCAAAGTGATTCTGTGGTTTGGGCAAGTGTATGCCCTCTTTTATGTCTTTTGCTAATGTAGAAAAATATTTGCATTTGGAGGTATATGCAACTGTAACTTTTTCTCCAAATATTGTCACTAGTTGGAGATGCTCAGTGGCCTCGTCTTCTGTGTTGTTTGTATAACTGGAAAATAGAAAGTGAAGCTTGTATATTAATCATGATACAGATAAAACATTAACATCAATGCATGTGAATGGGAAGTATATCTAATTTTTTTTTTCTTTCTTCCCCCTCTAGTATATCCTTAAATCAAATGGCATAGTAAATCCTTGATTTTTCTTTTTTTCCCCACTCCTCTCTTAGTGTCAGTATTATCAGGAACATGCTTCTGTATTGGAAAACCAGCCTTCAGGGACAGTTGTACTGCAGGTTGAAGTCACTGATGCTGATGAGGGAGGCAATGGTATAGTGAAATACGGATTGATGCACAGAGGTGATGTCCTACCCGCATTTAGTATTCATCCTGACACAGGTAAAGAGAATATCAGAACTGCTACTGGCAGATAGAAACCACTTTGTTACATTGATGAAAAAAAACCCCAAAACTTAAATAAAATCAGACTTTGTGCTTTTTCATTGAGTTTTTTGATAGCAGACAAAATATAAACTGTATTACCTTCATGAACAAATGCTCTCCTTTTAGTTTCATACATGTTCAGTAGTGAACTAGAACTGATGTTTTCCTGAAATATAGAAATTCTGCTGTGTGAATAACTTACGTGTTTTTGTAACTAGATGTAAGAACCCCACCATATTTTAAATGCACATTATCTTTCAGCGTTACTAATGGCATATAAATGATTTATCCAAATGCCTGTACTCTTAGAAAGAGCAAAGAGACTAAGTCTTGGAAAGCCAAAACTAAGTTCAGGCTGAACTTTTGGAAGATAAAAAACAGGAAACATGCATTTACCTTATACTTAACTGCTCTTCAGAATAAATATTTGTTTAGAAACTCAATCTCTTAAAGTTAGTTTGGATCACTGTGCTCAGTGAAGTTAGTTTAGATCACTTCTAAATTTAAGTCCAATTGTATGTAGATTTAAGTGTATATGAAGCTTGTGTCTTTCTGAGCAGTAGAATTTAAGCTGTTGAAACTTGTTAAATCTTGTGATTGGATCCTTGAACCTGAAGTTAACATTATAGGTGTATTTAACCTATTGCATTGTATCTCAATGTATTGACAGACAAATAAAGATCTGAATGTAGAATTTTGTCAAATGCATAGTTTTAACTCTCTGGTATTTAATTTGTTTTCAGGAGTTCTGACAACTGTTCAGGTATTTGATCGAGAAAAACAGAGGGAATATCCTATCACTGTCACAGCAACAGATAAGGCAGCGGAACCACTCACTGGAATATGTCAGATAAATATTATCATCCTGGACCAAAATGACAATGATCCCAGATTTGAAAACACCCACTATGAATGTAATTGAGAGTCACTGGATAGAGTTTCGGTGCCCTGAGTGTGAGCTTATCTGATGTCTAAGACTTTTGTATTTTGTCTTCCCTGGCAGTAGATCTTGTGACCAACCAAGTGCAGCCAGAGATGCACTTACCTTCATTAATTGCAGAATTGTTATTCTGTGTAGTGTGCAGTGTAACAAGTACAGTCTTGGCTCGTAGGCCTTCCTGTTGTTATGAGAAAATTCCTTGAAAGAATAGCCATGTCAGTATCTTTCCTTACCTGAGTATACCAAGTGTCTGTGGTATACACAGAGATGTGAAAGTTGGAATAAGCATGTGAGTGGGCAGCACTGAGCACTAACTGTATCCTTTGTTTTCTGATTAATAGATTTCTGTCATAACTTTTGATTACATATTTCTCCCATTTGAATTTAATCATTCTTCATTGTTGTTTTACCTTTACTTCTTGGTTAACCCCATCCTGTTTATGAATAAACACCTACAGGCATATGTAATATTAATAAAAAAATGAAGACTGATAATTCTCAGTTTTTACACAAATCCTAGAAAGTAGCTTCTCACAATGTGGTCTTTTTTCTGGGTTTATGCAATAAATTAAAATACCATTTATGTATATTTCATACAGAACAATTAGTCACCTACTGAAAATACAAGCAAAAAAAAAAAAAGTAGTGTCTCATAAGAAATAAGAATTCCAGGTTATGAGTGTGATAATATGAAGTTCAAATGTGATCCATAGCTCTGGAGTTATAGCAGCTCTAGAATATTCAGTTTGATTTTTACGGCCATCATTCCAAGGAAGATAAAGTAACAGCCTCCATACATTATTATTTCAGTATTTCTTCATGTCTTAGTAAGATGTTCATGGTATTTTATTGAATTAATGATCAGTTTGAAATATCCTTTCCTTACATTAGATTTCCTGAGAGAGGACACAAGCGTTAGGACCAGCTTTCTTCGTGTTGCAGCCCATGATGATGACTACAGCTCATATGCTGCCATTACATATTCAATAGCAAGTGAAGAACCAAATTATTTACAAATTAATTCTACTATGGGCTGGGTGTTTGTGAACCAACCCATATCTGAGGTATGGTGTTTGCTTTCCTTTGTAAGCTGGCTATCTCAATATATTTTAGGAGGGACTGAGGTCATGAGCTTGTCCTTACATGTATGTTATCCCTTCACAGTAAAGGATCAATATGTCATGTTTAAATTAAGCATGAGTCTGAGGCTTTTAGCTGATGAGTTCATTGTCTGTAAATTGCATGTAAGGAAGTCCTGTTTTAGCTGGAAACTAGCAGCTGACAGCACTGCCTCTGAGAACTTGTTCTTTCCAGTTCATGACCTCTGGCATTCTAATACCAAGGACTGGAGAGCTAAGACCATAAGCAGGGCAACAAGAACTTCACTGTGTTAACAGGCCAGCCTGCATGAGAAAGAGTGTGAAATTTTGCTTCTGATAGAGATTCTCAACTTGATACATGTTAGTCATAGTGGACTAAGCATAGCTATCCCTCAGGAAGGTGAAGGCATAATGAACAATACTGTTGCATGTAGTTATCTAAAATTTACCAGTTTCAGCCATTTTTGAATAAGGAGTCTGATATTTTCAGAACTGTAAAATAATGTGTGTTGAAGTGAAAATATTGTTGTAGATGTCAATCTTTAAATACATAATAGATACTTTTAGTATTGAAGTTTAACTTCTAAGTAACTGACGCACAATACTTTGGTGAAGATGTATCCTTTTAATATATTTTCTTTATCAAATCTAAGAACCCTACAGCCCTAATAACAAGAACTGTTGATAGGTAAGCTTAAGAACTCAGAGCACAAAGTGTGGGGGGGGGGGGTTTGTTTTGTTTTAGTTTTATGTGAAATCTGCTCAGGTTTATTGAGACAAATAGCCACATTTTCCAACAATCTTAAGAAAATAGCAACCTTGTACCTACTTCATTCTGAGCTCAGTATTCTGCAGTTGTGGCTATCTTCCTTCTAAAGTTTTCTAAAGTGTGCCTTTAATTTTATATATTAATTTGTTTGTGGAAAAAAAAAAACAAAACAAACAAACAAAAAAAACCAACAAAGCTCATTGGAGCCCTGATCAAAAGCCTCTATAATGAAACCCTTTTTATTATTCATAGGTCATCTATAATTCGAGAGATTATTGCTACAGATGGAGGTAATAGGAGCAGTAAAGTTGAACTTGTTGTAACTACTACCAGTGTAAACAAACCAGCCTCTGCAGTGGGAAAGAGACAGCTATGAAGTTGTTATTCTGGGGAATACTACACGAGATACATCAATTTTGGTCAGGTTGGGACAGACTTGTTTGCCTGTCTATAGCTCTAAGGCTGTAAAGTAACTGAACAGTGCTTATGTGCTTAAATATAGTGACCTTTTTTTAACAGTTTTGTGTATTGTAGGGCCCAATAACTTGCTATCAGTTTTCTTTTAGAAATGCTAATAGTAACCAGCATTTTTGCTGGTATTTATTTATTTATTTATTTATTTGTTTATTTATTTATTTATATGCATGCAACCACTATTTAATTTCCTTCCCATTTGGACAACGCTATAGGTGATCCAGTTTTTTGAATGCTGCTGTGTTACCTGAGGTGATTATTTGGCTTAAGAGTACTGAGAGTTGTTTAGTGTGCTTGCTCGTTATGAATAAGTCTTGGCACATTTTCATTCAGGTCTCTGCCACCGACCTTGACCTTGGTCAGAATGGTGAGGTAAGCAAGCAGGGACCTACATCTTCTGTGATAAAAGTTATGGGAATAACTTCTGTATGAACAATGGCTAAATGGACTAGAAGTCTTCAACCTATAAAAGGGATAATAGCAAAACATGAGAAGAAATAGTTAATTACATGTTTCTCTGTCTTGCATGTGAAAAATGCAACTAAAACTAGGTGTGAGATAGAAAACAAAGAAGAAATATTTACACAGCCTGTAGTTCAGGTGAAAAACTTGCTATAGAACTGTCTGCTTTGGAAAGGTGTACATAGACCTAAAATACAATTGGATAAATTAATGGAAGAAAAAGTGTGTTAAAAGCTTCTGTGTGTTGTGAATCATTGGCGGTGTGGAAAACTGAATCCTTAGAAAATTTGTCAACACCAAAAGTTGGATGTATTCATTACTGATTTTTAAAAATTGAAAGTAGGCATATCCTTAGAACAACAGTGCAAGCTGAAGTGCATGGAAACATACATAATAGAGACTATAAGATGGTCCATGATAGCAAGTTCAAATTCAGCTCACATGTGGCTATTACATTAGTACCTGGGATTTTTAGCTGAGTTTGAGTGCTGTTGCACAAGCACTGTGCAAATGTGAACTAGTGAACTCAGGAATTGATTAGACAACACAAATTTATTTCCATTTACAGATCAGCAGTCAACATGCAAGGGAGTAAAGTGAAGGACTTTAAAGTAGATTGCTCAAACTGGCAGTTTTACTCATCTTTCTTGGCCATGGTCAAGTTCTTAAACACAAGACTGCTCTACCAGTCTTTTAAGTACTTATTTAGTTGTGAACTGTTCAACAGAAGTAAAGCACGGATTAACAACTTCTTTTACATCCTTTAGATAATTTACTCCCTCTTACATGACAGTGGCAGAGACTACACATATTTTCACTTGCACTCACAGACAGGCTCAATTTATACGGCCTCAGTGTTTGATAGAGAGAAGAAGGGGTCCTATCTTCTAGAAGTCAAGTCAGTAGATGGCTCTGAATCAGCTCGACTTGGAAAACATGGGAAACCAAACTCTGGTAAGAGACAGATGTCTGTTGCAAGCATGATTTTACATGGATTTGTCTCTGAAACAGAAGCTTGGAAATGCAAGAACGAATGTTTACTGTATTGTTTTTTGTTTTGTTTTGTTTTGTTTTTCCTTACTGTTTGTGCAACAGTCCTGTCAGAGATATTTTATATGATGACCAGACAAGTTTTGTGTTCTGAAATGAAAACTAGGGCTTCATAGAGTTTAGAGAGTATTTCCTAGCTAGTGAAGATACATCCATTACCTGTAGCATGCAGATCTTTGGGTAGTGCAGGTGTTTTTCAGAGCACTGCATCTGATACTGTGTTCATCCAGAAGTAATTATGAAGTAGTGAAGTTCAAGATAGAAATTCTCCTTCTTTGTTGACAGCTGGGCTTAAATAAAGACTTAAAATTTGGCTTTTGTGCCTTCAGGACAAAAAGTTATGACTAAAAACTGTACAGTTGCTGTATTAGGCGTCAGTTATTCACATATTATCTGTTTAAACAAATTGGATACGACATTCATTTGATATCCAAATGCTTTTGGGTAATGTTGGTATATATATTCTCCACAACCCTAAGGGTTTGTTTCTGTATTGTCTGCATATTTGTCTTCATTTAGTGTGCAGATAGACATTTTAAGGAATTGTAGCTGACAGAAGTGGCACAGCTGAGTATTTTAATCTCTTGTTTCTTGTCTCTCTAGACACGGCCTATGTGCACATTTTTATCAGTGATGTGAATGATAACAAGCCTGTCTTCACTCAGAGTGTCTATGAAGTAAATGTGGATGAAGACCAGGCTGTGGACTCGACTATCATTACAGTCAGTACTAATGACGAAGATGAAGGTGAAGTATTGAAATTCCCCATAGTTGTGTCTAAAATATTAATGAGTCAATTTCAGTACACCAAGACATATTTAGTGGTGTTAGAAAGGAAGATATCTTTTTGTCTCTAGATTTAAAAACTTGTCTTAAGTGTGAACTGATCAGGCGTGAACATTAGTTCATAAGGGAGCGGCGAGGCATAAGTCAAATAACTTATTTCAGGAGGCAATGCATTAATGTGGGATGATGGGGAATAGTTTCTGTGCCAGCAAATACAAATTTATTATAGATCATATCATTTTCTTACAAATGAGTGCCAATAAAAATGTCCTGGTTAACTAGAATGAATCAGACTTGATTTCAGTGAGATTCATTTGCTTTCTCTGTGGACAGTATAGTTGTATTGTTCTTCATTTTTTTTGGTACATGTTCATATATGTGAAACTGGGCTTCCTAAATGCATATGATGAGGCTTAGCTATATTGCTATCAATTTGTAATTCAGCCATCAGTCATGTAAAAATAAGTACTTAACCGGTGCTCATAAAAGAGAGGGAACAGTACAGACTTCCATCTTCTGGCTATGGTCCACTACTAATTTGACTTTACTGTATGGTGAAACCATACTTTTGGGTTTTTTTTGGTTTTTTTTTGTTGCACAACTCCCAAAGGACTGTTCTGTCAGCATGTCTGTGAAGTGCAAGTAGATCCTGGCTGCACTTGATTCCTCACTCACTCGAGGACACTGAGGCAAATGTGGCTAAGTTGTTCTGAAGGATTTACCAACTCAGGGAAATTACAGTTTACTACTTAGGCTGCCTGTAAATCTACTCTGTACTGTTGGATCAGGGGACCTGATGTGATGGATATACAGCACTTCATTTCTGTCCTCTTAATAAAGCAAATGATTAAACTTGTAGCTATGAAAGAAGGGAAGAAGAGAAGAACGTAGAGCTTGTAGAAAGGCTGAAAGTCTTTACTAAATTTACTAGTCTTTACCAATTTACTAAAACCATCAGCAAATTGGTACTGCATCTGAAATTTTCAGAAGTTCTGTTAGTACTGTCTCCTCTGGCTTGATACATCATTATCCTGTTTGTTGGTAAAGTCTATGCATAAATGAATGTGAGTGCAAAATGGTTCTATGGTATGAAGTATTTTATGATAACTCATTCTTACATGCTGGGTGTTAGCAAAGATTAATTTGTCCCATAGTCTTGACCAGTCATAGTGATCCTTCAGTGAATACAAGGGATCATAGTAAAAGCACAATTAGTACTTCATTGCAAAGAGACATTTTATAATTCGACACAGATTGTAATTGGACATACCAGAATTGAAAATGCTGCTAAGTGATCTGACATAGCTGCTTGTTTTAAAAGATCGCAAAACTGTGGTACCAAAATCAGTTATTGCGTGACTTGTACTTCATCTTAACATCCAATGTTTTAATCTGATACAAGAAATATATGTTTTCTGTCATTGTTGGTAATTGACAGGAACAAATGCTAAATTATGGTATCAGATAACAGCTGGAAACACAGGAGGAGTACTTGATGTAGAACCAGAAGTAGGAGCCATTTTTATTGCTCAACCACTGGATTATGAAGAAACAAAAATGTATGAGATTGACTTGTTGGCCTCTGAGGGGAAATGGGAAGATTATGCAGTTATCATCATCAGTGTCATGAATAAAAATGATCAGACTCCCGTTTTCTCTGTCAATTAATACTATGGAAGTATAATTGAGGAAATGGATGGGTTACCAGTCTTTGTACTTCAGGTAGCGTACCCCGTTTCAGAGATTGTAGTATGTCAATGAAAGAGCACAGATTAATTACTCTGATACAGGTATGTTAATAATAATAAATTTTATACATATTAATGAAATTTAGTTTTACTGAGGTATTTTTGTCAGTGGATGAAGAGAAATGGATTTTTATGGAAAAATAATTACAAAGATATTAAGTAGGATAAACAGGATGGATCATTTGTGATTGCAAAGCAAATCATTAACGTTTTAAAGTAGCTATCAGAATAGGATAGTTAAATTACCTCTACAATATGAAAAAAAAAAAATCTTAGTATTAGAATATCTACATTGTTATTGTGTTGCAAAGTGTATTTATCTACTCAGAATTGACCCTCAGCCACCTTTTATTTGCCATTCATCTGGCATGCAGATATTAATAGCATGTCATATGCTTTTGCTTGGACTCCTTTAGACTAGCAGCATATAGAATATAATGCAGTCATTGCATATTTTATAATTTCTGTGTGTTTGTTTTCAAAACTTTTGTAGGTTATGGCCAATGACCCTGATAATTGCATGGGCATGGTGCAGCTGATGTTTTCATGATAGATGAGAAAACAGGCAGCATTTACTCACACAAGATGCTGGATCGGGAAGAGAGAGCACTGTGGAGATTTGTTATATTGGCTACTGATGAAGGTGGAGAAGGACTTAACGGATTTGCTGATGTTATAATTAACGTGTGGGATATAAATGACAATGCACCCATGTTCACGTGCATGCCTGATGATTGCAATGGGAGCATCTTTGAAAATTCTCCTGCAGACACATTAGTCATGGAAATGGGTGCAGTTGATAGTGGTGATCCAAATGTAGATCTTAACACTGTCCTCATTTACACGATAACAGAGAATGTAAAAAATGAGTTTGGTACTGACATGTTTGATATCAATCCCAATACTGGCACGTAGTCCACATAGCAGGGGGAATGCTAGACAGAGAAAGGACTGACAAGTATTTTCTGACTGTTGAAGCAAGAGATGGGGGAGGGCTAACAGGAAATGGCACATCCACTATCTGGATTGCAGACGTCAATGATCATGTACCTAAATTCACAAAAGAGATGTGGCAGGCAACAGTTCCTGAAAAGAATGCCATTGACTCAGAAGTTCTACGAGTGTGTGCTACAGATGCAGATGTTGGGGAAAATGCTGACTTAATATTCAGTATCATCGGGAGAGACCCAGAGCAGAAGTTTTATATTGAGAATGGCAAGGAATGGCAATGTGCTACTATTCGACAGAAAAAAAAAAAAAAATTTGGATTTTGAGAATGCACGTGAAAGGCAGTTTAATCTCACTATTACAGTGGAAGATCTTGATTTTTCTAGTATTGCAGTGTGCCTGATTGACGTTGAAGACTCTAATGACCACAGCCCAGTTTTCCTTTCTCAGTTTATTCAGACAAGCCCTTTCTTTGAAAACATGCCTGTAGGTACTACAGTAACCACAGTGAGAGCCACAGACAAGGATTCTGGTTTGAATGGGAACATTATATATTCTATAAAGTCAGATTCAGATCCTATGGGACAGTTTGCAGTTGACCAACATGGTCGTGTGATTGTGGCAAACACACTGGATCGTGAAGTCGTTCAAAAATACAGTTTAATTGTAGAAGCTTCTGATCAAGGGACACCTGCCTGCACTGGAAATGTTATGGTTTTGATTAACTTCTTGATATTAATGACAATGGACCAGGGTTTGATGCACCGTACATGCCTGTAGTTTGGGAAAATATGTTGAGGCCTGAAATAGTGTATATGAACCATACATCAAAACTGCTTTATGCATTTGATCCAGACAAGTGAAGGAAATGGGCCGCCCTTTACATTTTCATTGCCACCAGATTATCAGAATTCTTTGGACTTTTCTCTTACTGACAACAAAAGTAATAGAGCAACTGTAACTGCTTTGAGGTCCTTTGACAGAGAAAAGCAGAAGGTGTTTCATCAGCTAGTAGTTATAACAAATAGTGGGATTCCATCTATGAGCTCTACAAACACCCTAACTATAACAATTGGTGATGAAAATTACAACTGCCACGAATCTGGCCATAAAGAACTCTATGTGTGCAGTTATAAACGTAAGTGCTATCTGGACATTATATCAGATTGATAAATATAGCACAGTTTTACACATAGTTTTTTCTCTTGCTGTTCTTAATTTATTTTTTAAATGGTTAACATATTTCAAAACTCTCTAATTCTGTAAACTACCAAGTGGAATGAGTAAAGTATATTTGCAAAGCTCAGACCCTAGTGTGTAAAAGATCATTTACCAAAGAACTGTTAGCTGCAAAGGAGTATATATTGCACTTGCAGAAAAAGCAGTATTTTTATAAACCTGTAAAATCTGTTTTCCATTCACTAGTTTTCACCTACATGGAGGAAGAGGTTTTTGTATGTGCACATGTGATTCAGAAAGTATCTGATGCTGAGAGATAACTGGAGATGAGAATGGCAGAAGTGGAGCAACTTAGAGAAACAGAGGTTCATAGATAAGCCCTACCCAGAAATTGTAGACCAGTGCCACCTCCGCTGTGACAGTCACTGTACAGCTGAGCAAGATTAGATATCTTGTGGGGAGAGATTTTCTGCTGGCAAGAAAAGATCCAAGAGAAAGCTGAGTCAGTGCTTTTTTTAGGAAAAACATAATCTTTGGGGTTCAGTAAGTGACTGCTTCCCAGAAGATGTAGTCTTTGAACTGGGAAAAAAAAAAAAAAAAAAAAAAAGGATGCTGTTCTGGATGCATTCTTGAGTGGTACACAGTACCTAGTTCAACACATACTAGCAGGAGAGCTACTCTGTGATAGCAGCCACAGTACCACGAGGTTTAACATTGTAGTGGGAGAGAGCAGAGCAAATGTGTCCTCTTTATGTTTTCTCATCAGAGTGGTTTAGCAGAGAATGAACAGTTTATTAATATTTTCTTAAATTTCTCTTGAATTTCTATTGCTGTGTTTTTCCTGAAACAATGTAAAACTTAACCTTAAACTAGTCCCGGTGGCCCTTATTAAGCATAGTTTATTATGCAGTTTATTGTAATTATCATTTCAATGGTAGAATTTCTGATAAATATTAGAAAAGATTAATACATAGAAGGTATTTTTGCAAGGAGTTATTTTTGCTGAATTCAGTATGCCTAAATTAGAAAAAGGTGTGACAAGATCCTGCTGTAGAAATGAGAGAATTAATTTTCTAGGGTTGACTGGCTCCTGACTGGAACCTTAAAAAGTTCATATGTTGCTGGATCTTGACTGTGGAATTCAAAGGTCTCCTTCCCTGGAGTTGCTTCTTTTGTTATTTTGGAACAGCTGCTTGGATGTTCCACTTCTGTGACAGCCCACAGGGGCCTGAAAAAAGGGCCAAGAACTGGCACATCTTGGTGGCTTCTTGCCCATTTCCTTTTCTCAGTCACATCCTTCTCTCCCAGCTGCACCCCCCAAGATGCTATTCCTCTTTTGGTGGGTTCCACTTGTGTGCCATTTGAAATAATAGACTAGGAATGAAACATTTGGGGATTAACTCCTGATGTGATTTTAGAATTTTATATAGTTGTATTTTTGTATCATTCTGTCATTGTTTTGTGTTGTTTTCAGCTTTTCTTCTTTCATGTGACATCCACAGTATACTCACAGTTCCAGAAATGGCAGAAATCATATGACAGGCTATGGATTGTTTTAAGAAACTTGGGTCATAACCATCACCAAACTGAGCAGGGATCTGAAAATAATGCATGCGGTAATAAATGTGGCAGAATATAAAGTGTGCTGAAAAGCAAAAATTAAATGCAGATTTATTATAATTTATCTCAACAGGAAAATGGTCAACAACAGTGCTTGGGGAAGTGTTTGCACCAGATCAAGATGACTGGGACAATAAAACATTTCTTTCTGAAGGAAAACTGCTTAAGTGAGGATTGTATTTGTGTCAAAAAGTAATATTTATGCTTCTGTAATTATTTTACTCACTATTTATTTCTCTGTGTTCAGGATGTGCATAAATCCAGGATTATTGAGTGTATTAAGTAATGTACCTTCTGAGTGCTGCTCTTCTTTTTTTACTTGGGTAACTAGGTATTAAGAAATTAATGCATGAAATATTTTTTGCAATAGAATGCAAGATCTCACCATGAGGTTGATTTTTAGTCAGATATCATCATTAATTTATTTTAAAATGTGCATTCTGTAAGATCCAATTTAAACATAGGCAGAGTTTTTAATACTTGCTCTCAAATGGTAGAATTGGTGGAATACAAATCCCAAATTAAAAAGGCAGAATGGAATCATTTCATCAAAAGTGGAAGGGAATTTGGTGATCTCCTTTGACTGAATTCACAATTGCATGTGACAGCCATGACTCAGATTAATGTTTTTTTCTGTTAATTGAAATGTTGAATTGGATCCTTAATTCCTACTTACACATTATTTGCTCATATCCTGAAGTGAGATGGCATATAACATAATTGTATGATGTTTTAAATACAGAAAATTGATGTGAAAATGAATGTGAGTATTTGTCTTTGCTGTGAATAAGACTTTAAAAGCTTTATATAATCCAAAATTAAGGACTGACTTTCTGTTTGTCAGCAGCCCCTGGGCCTGTTTCCATATTAACAGGTTACTGTTCCATAATAGTGATCATGGAATATTTCCATAATTACTGATTACTGTCCCTTTGAGGTGGTAAATGAAGATGATATCAGAGATTTCGTACAGACGTTATCCTTTTCCAGATAAACAAGAATCTGGAATGACTTTGTGAGGGTTTATCAGTTTCTATTACTTGCCTCATAGACCTGTGCATGATGACAATGTTTAACACTGTGGTTCAACTGCACACTGCTTTTATTCAAGTTTGGGAAAGTCTGGGGATGTGGGAGTGGTAGAAACATTTTTTTTATAAACTCTGCAGATTGTAGTTTCTGAATTAAGGGTTTTCTGGTGCTTTTCTGAGATTATTTCTGAATTCCCCTAAATTTTGATACTATACCCTTCATAGTAACATTTAAGGCCTTTTGAATTATGTTAACAAATAAAGTAAATACTCAATTTTGATTTATTAAGGTTTTCTAATTGAAGATTTATGCCTAGGTCTTTCAGATTAAATCAGAGGACTGGTTCTTTGATGATGGTGGATAACACTCCTCAAGGAGTATACAACTTAAAAGTTAAAGTTTCTGATGGAGTTTGTCCGGATGATGTATCTACAGTACAAATCCATGTCAAAGAGCTGGAAAATGAAGCCATACAAAACTCGGCCAGTGTGAGTCTGTCAGGTTAGTTTCATTTGCTGGTGAGGGTTTAGATCACCTGCTTCTGTAACTGAATGATTATTGCCACTATTGTATTTACTTATCACTGTAGGGCACTTTCTGGTATTGTTAAATAAGAAATAAATTGAGAAATTAACCTGTGGTCCCCCAGTATTTTATGTTTGGTTTTGAATCCCAAGCTCAGATGTCACAGCAGAGGAGTTCGTAAGGAGAGATGAAGATGGCAAAACAAGACATGACAAGTTCAAGGAATTACTAGCAAAAATGTTACCTGCTAAGCATAGTGATATCATTGTCTTCAGTGTGATGAGCATTGATGGAAAACAGACAGATGTAAGGTTTGCAGTCCATGATGACTCGACATATTACAGACCTGAGAAAATGCATGCTGAGATGGCAGCATCTAAAACTGAGTTTGCAGGCTATGTATCCCAAATCTCAGTGGAATGACACATCTACAGATAAGGGATTTTGCTTCACTTGGAGGGGAAAAAAAAACACTTGTCAAGCAAGTGCTTAATTCAAGATTTCTTTCTCCTTAGTCCTATACATACAATTATTTTGTGGTTGTACTAACTTCTGGTTCAGTAAATATAAACACTGTTTAGTCGCAGAAAGATTCCCATCATGGTACAGTTGCCTGTGTTTTCTCCAGTCAGTGTTTCATTGTGTAGTCTATCAGAATTTTGAATATGAAATCAGAAGAATCCCTAGAAGCCTATAAGTGCTACTGAGAATGTCTTGGAAATGGCAGCTTTGTGGACATTCCAGATACTGATGGAAATACCCAGATCATCAGCTTGTGGGTGGACACTTACAGTAGAAGCTTAATGCCAGCCAGATGGAAATTCTATTGTACAAAGAGATGACAGACAGTAGAAAAAATTGTGCTAGAAGTAGTATGCAGGATAAAAAGCAGTTACAACAGATAAATGAGGTGGAGACAACCAATTTTGTGATAGTATTTAACTCACTGAAGGACATTTTAAAATACTAAGTGACAGCCTTCCCCAACTGTTTTTTTACTGTTAGAAAGGGAAAATAGTATTTGAATCTAAGACTCTTTCTTCCCCTTCCTGGTGTTCCCTAACTGTTCTACTCTCTTACCAGATTCTGCATGCTCTCTAACTCAGTTATCCAGACACAGTCTCTCTTGACTCCACTTTTATTTTCTGTAGTCTTCCAGATTTTGGCTTTGCAGAAGCCCTTGAGATGCTGCTGAACAGACACAAAAGCTGCTGCCTTGCACAAAGGCAAAATGCCACTGCTTGTCTTGTAACTTGACCTAGACAAGGCAGCACTTCCTGATGTGAAATTTGTGGCTATGAGGGCATATTTGGGTTTAATACATGATACATCTTACAGAGGATTTTTCCTGAAGAGAAAACAGCACTTCCCATTTATGTGAATATGGTGGAGTCTGCCTGGTTCTGGGAACCAAACAGGAATATCTTAGTTTACCACCTGCCTACATCTGACTGTATCTTGAATAGTTGTGTGGTCTCTTCAGAGTGACCAAGTAGGAAATACCAGAGATGGACAGTCTTCATGAAGCATAACACCTGCTTCTTTTGCATATTTATTGAATTACTGAAAAATAATACAGAAAATTGCATTGATTTCAAATATTCTGTGCCATAATATATGGCAGGTGAATTCATCAAAGTGGTACGAGGGGATTGCTTCACATATTTTAATGAAAAAATATGTTTGTATTAATTATATATCACCTTTCAATATTTAATGAGTAGCTCTAGTGAGTAATCACCAATAGTTTACAGAAAACCAATCATAACTGGAGAATTTCTCCAGTAGTTTTTGTACATGTGTTCAACTATAAATATAGAAAATAAGTAATTAGCACTGGAATTATACATTGAATTGCCAAATAAATAATATGTTTGCATTAGCTCCTTGGGATATAGCTTTACAACAACTATTTTTATTTAGCAGAAAAATAATCCATCCTAATACTGTAAAGGACCCAGGGTTGTTTATGTACACTATGTTTTTCCATAACAGTATTACATAGCTGTCCAAATGTGCATTATAGACTCTCCGCTAATGGTGAACAATGTGAGCAGCAGACACGAAACTGCATTGACAGGATGCATCACGTCATTATAAAGTATATTTTATGCCTTTGGGGACATGTTTTTCAATACATGTTATAATATTTGAGGATATACTGACAATTGATTATAAAGGTCAAAGTTTTTAGAGTGCTGAATTGTGATGACTGCACAAGTGAAAATAATAAGTGCTTTACTATTTATGTATTTGTTTTTATCTGTTCAAAGCTTGTTTTTAATATATGTCATACATTCTATCACTTAAAAAAATACATATTAAAGGTATAAATAAAGACAGTCCAAGTCTGATCTACCTGTTAATTTTACTTTTGTATACCTCAGTGTATACCACTGTGAGAGTATGAGGTCTCTTGTATTGAGGTTTGAGCACTAAATACACATCATTTTAATGTATTTGAATCACCAAATACAAATCAAATACTGAAGCTTTATAGGTGCCCATGTAAAATCCCCAAACAAGTAGAAGGAAGAAATCTGTTGTGCCAGGGAACAAACTTCATGATAACTTAGTTCACCGTGTAGGCTACTGGCTGAAGTACAAAAGGTCTGAAACAATGGCAGCCCTGTTACTGTTCTCAGGCTTATTGTGAGCAGAATGCTTCCCTTATTTGTGCTTCCTGCTACTTCTTTGGTCTGGATTAGAAGTTGCAAACTGCTGAGACACTGTCATGTGTTACATGACCTGTATACACAGTGAGGCTTTTCTCTTTATTTGGTTATTTGGGCTTTCAGGTGCAACCCCAATTAATGATAAAAACACCAAATGAGTAAAGATTAATGTAGAATAGAATACAGTAAACAGTATGCTGTGCTGACTGTGTTTTGTTTCAAATAGTTTGACATTAAATCTAAGTTTATGGGGCACATATCAATAGACTGAATTCTAATTGCTACGGAGTTGTCTTGATAGGCCACTGTCTGTGGAGGTTATTATTGAATGCAGCTCAGCCCTGCATTTTTCTTTTTCTGTATCATTATGTGTGAGTGAAAGTAAGAAATAAATTCTGGGTATAACTTGCAGGGGAGAATTTTTATCCCGGCTTGAGCTAAAGCATGTCTGTTGCTGTCAGAGTGCAGAAAAGTGTGAGGCAGATGATACAGCTCAGAAGGTGGAGTATCACTGCTCTCAGACCTTTGGCTCTTGGAAATCATGTTAGACCAGGACAGATTTAACATGTACATAGTCAGTCATGTAATTGATTAAGTTTTTAGGAAATACTGCTATTGTAAATTTTTTCAAAATTTTCCAGTATTTGTCAAACTTGCCTATATATAGTCAGGGATGTTAGTAATTTATACTCAAGAAACTAAAGCATTTCATTAAGTCTGTGATGATTTAGATTTTTCAGAAATTAAGGAGTAAGTAAAAACATTCATTAGAACATCACTGGTGTGTGTTAAACTGTATTTTCTCTTAGATCCAGTCAGCTTTACAGTTGAACATTTCACAGATCGATGTATACGAATGTAGGAGCCCGAATTGTAGCGAGGGCAATGGTTGTACAAACTACCTTGCCATGAGCGATATCCCAACCATGACGGATACTGGAAGCATGTCATTTGTCTCGGTAACAACCACCGTCAACGTGGTCTGCGCCTGTTCAGCTAGGGACCGAGTCCATCAGTCATGTTCCTCCTACCCTCAAAGCTCTTGTCTAAATGGTGGGATGTGTATTGACACTTTGAATGGTTACAGGTGAGGAAACTTGTATTGCAGATTCTTACTTCTTTTTTTCTTCTATTTTTAAAGTGTTAAGTGGAGCTTACAAGATAGAGGTCTAAAAAATTCATAGATGTACCTCTGACTGAAGGAGAAACAAAAACCCCTTGAGTACACTGGGGTGTAAACTGAAAGACAACAGCATCTTTACTAACAGCCCAGTAATGGTGATGTAGTGATGAAAGTGGTGGAAATAGTGTCTGAGTAAGAAAGAAAACTAGGGGGAAAGACAGTGGTACAATTAACGTGTGTCAGTTTTTAAGAGCACCTAATGGGAAGAGTGCTCTGTTTTGTTTGTTTTTTTTTTTTCTTTTCCAGAAGAGTAGTAATAAAGGTAAATATTAGTGGTAGCAACAGGTGTTTAGGAGGAGTGAAATGTATCTTAAACAATGGGTAATAAGGAGCTTTGAAACATTAGATAGGAAACTTGCTTTGTTGTAGTGTCACCTGGCATGCACCACTATTCCTTTAGTGAAATTATACTGGTTTATTCTAGCTAGGAATTAACCTCCCTGAGTTTTCTCTGTAAGAAATTAACCAATTGATGCTTGGTGTTCTATGTTAATTATTTAAGGAAATAAGTTCTCAAAACATGGCCTCAAAAATAATTTTTTTTGGTGGAGATAGTATAGTGGATAAAAATGTTTTGTACGCTTATTTTAGTAATTGCCAAGCGTCCCTGAGACTCTGCTAAAATCTTTATTGCTTCACTGCTGTTTTTAAACTGTGATTTAAGTGCTACATTTGTTGCATGTAAAACAAAACAAAACAAAACAAAAAGTTGAACACTGGGGAATTTTGACTTTTTTTGTTTGTGTTCTGTCAGATGTCTTTGTCCTGCTTCGTTCCATGGACCAGACTGCAGCAGACTAAGCACAGTTTCCATGGAAATGGTTATGCATGGTTTCCTCCCATCAGGCCTTGTTTTGAAAGCTTGCTCTCTCTAGAGTTTATTACTGTTGTTCCAGATGGACTTTTACTATATAGTGGTCCTTTATCAAATCCAGAACCTGGGAGTACAGAAAACTTCATTGCAATAGGTACTTCTGCAGAAGTGTGTGAAAAACTTAAATGTCTTCTGTGTATGGGTTACTTGTGAACTGTGTAGTAGTTACAGTATGATTTCTGTCTTTCCATTTTATGAGATTATTTATTTTCTGTTTTGAAAATATTTTGAAACATTTCCTAACCGGTCCTACTTCTCTGATGTCTATTTTTGTAGCCTGCACCTATGGCTTTAGGTCCATTGCAGAATTGTAGAAATCAAAGGAAAGGCAAAATAGACAGATTGATATATATAAAAAATAATCCCCCTAGGAAAACTGTTGTGCTATAAAAAAATGTAAGTATTTTGAAGATAGATATTACATGATTAATGCAGTCTTAGTCACATGTCTTTCTTATCTAGTTTAGTGAGAAAGGAAATCCACTTAAACTGCTTTCAGTCTCAGGGCATTTTTGCACTTTTTTTTAAACAGGCAATGATTTGATGGATGAATCCAGCCCCAGAGTGCCACTGTAGGAACATTTATACACAAGTAGAGCTCATTACTTTATGTTGACACATATTTAAAAGGTTACTACTGCTTATTTCTTGTGAATTAATATACAACATGCACACTATGGCTGGCATTTTATGTTTTCCTAATTAATTGAGAGTTAATGTTGTTGGATATTGTTAATCATTTACCTTTTGTGCCTTGTTTTGCAGTTACTTGTAAATTTGAGTAGAAGATGGGAGGGAGTAAAACCTGTATGTGTTATTGTTTTAGAGCATTATAACATTGCAAATTGATTATCAGGAATTAGTTTCAGTGTTTTGACAGCAAAATGGCACGATCTAAAGTATAAAAATAAATACTACATTGAATGAGTATTTCTCCATAATATATAGAATATAATTCTAGTTATTTCTGTAGTGGATCCCACTTTATGTGACTAGTAATAACCATTAAATCAGTACATTCCCTAACTGCTAACATATCCAAAATGGAAAGATTCTTGTAGCTGAATTTAATTTCTTGTTCATGTTGTGTTAGAACTCTCCAGTGGTATTCCTGTGCGGAAGATGAGCCATGGCTCAGGTTTTGTGGTGCTGCACTTTCCAAGTCACCTGAATGTAGCAGACAAAAAATGGCATCAACTAGAAGTCAGAACCAATGGTCAGGTCAGTTACTTTTTTTTTTTTTTTTTTTTTTTTTCTGCACCAGGTTATTTATATTTCCAATAGCATTTACCTCTGCAGAAACCAGGAGGGTAGAAAAAAATAAACTGGGTTATTATATATATTATTCTAACTTTCCTTGTAGATTTGATGAATAATACAAATTTTGGGAAGACAGCATTGTCAGTTCCAAGTCTACCTATGCTGTAATCCATATTCCAAAATCAGAGGAACCTTTTTCCCTGGTTTTTAAGCTCTGCAGTACATGTGGAATGTGCATAAAGGCTTAGCTGTAATTTGCACATTCAATGTACAAATTTGGACACTGAAATCAATTACCTATGCACAAAACCCATATTTATTTTCAAAGGCAGTTATAGTTTTTGTAAAAGTAGATAAACTACCGAGAAGCATAAATTAAATGCAGAATGAAGTGGCTGCTTTTGTTAAATGGTTCCATCTTGGCTTTACTGGTTGTTGCAAGATGGAAAACAGAACAGTAAAAAATCCCAACCCTTTTTACTTGTTGGTATGCAAAAAGAAAAAGATGAAATTTTGATATAACTTGTTATTGAATTTTACATAAATTCTTAATTTAATAACCCTATGCTTTCATGTAGAATGTTCGATTCACTTTGGATCACTGCAGTGCAGCTGTTGTTTCAGAGAAAGAAGGAGTAGGCAAATGGCTGTCCACTGAAAACCATACAAATTGTGAAGTCTTTGGGTCTGTTCCACGAAGAGCAAGGTATCTTTCTGGAGATTCACTGAAAGTCAGTTTATTCTAAGGCCTTTGAACATTTTACCTACCAAATTGAAGCCAAATTACTAATGACTAGGAGCATAAAAGCATTTGCTTTTCTCTAGGATCTTCTGGGTCAAGTCTGAACTTTAAAGTGCTAAAAAATATTTAAGGAACCAGTCTTCCTTCAAGTAGTGTTGCAATACTAAATGACAACCCCAGAACACTATGTGGTTAATACAGCAGGTTTTGTGGCTACTGTGCACCAACCCTTACCCACAGGATTTCTCCACTTGATTTATCAAGTCACTGTAAGCCTGTTCTTGAAAACGTCATTAAATTAGGCCAGTTGACTATTTAATGGCAGTAACTCTGGATCCTCAACCAGTCTTACTCTCTGATTGGTGTAAGGCTGAGGGCTCCTACTGACAACCTTTGCAAATGTATTAAGGCAGACTAACACATTGGGGTCTCTGCTTGATCCAAGGTTGCTGCCATTATGGCAGTCAGAGGAGTGCACCTCTATCCATGTTCAGCTCTCAGCCTGCTGTATGTACTACTTGAAACTGCTGAGTCAAGTAGACTGGTGCTGGTCTGCCTGACTGTGGGCTGCAGTGTCTCATACAATCCACGGGTGTTTGTTTTACAGCAAAGTAACACAGCCAAGGTGTGATAATGACTTTGGTGGCTTAAATTGTTTTTACTGTTGAGTCAGTCCTTAGCCTCAGTTAAAACTGAAAAACTTGGAAAATCTTATTCAAAAAGCAGTTATTACATTCAAAGCAGAAGAATGTGTTCAGCTGTATTCTTCAAGGGTTTGGATTTATTATAATTCAATCCTTTTAATTGATGCCTCTTGCCCATGCTGATGACACCAAGTTGGGTGAAATGACCAGGATGTTGACATGGCTTGGAATTAAAAATGATCTCTGCAAACTGAAAATAGGACCTGGAAATACACTGTATTTTTCTACTGTGACAAAGGGCCAAGTACTGCATGTATGCAGAAATGACCAGCCTCACAAATAGAGAGAAGGGAACAACTGCAAAGTTGTAAAAGATACGGATGGTAGTTGGAGAGTGAGTCAGCAATGCTGCATTAACGTGAAAAAGGCAAGCACTACACAGCAATACCTCAACGTGTGTACCTCTCTAAGACATGGAAGATAATCCTTCCACACTGGTTAGCATTACTGGGCCTCAGCTGGAGTCCTGGGAGCAGCTTGTGCACCGCAGTGCAGGATTGTGGTGTACCCACTGGGTATAGTCCAGAGAAAAGCAGTGACTGTAATCAGCTTGCCTTGAGAATAAGACTTCTTGAGAATCAAGGAATTGAGGTCACTTAACTGAAAGAAGGGAAAGTCGAGGTGGGATAGGATGTCTCAGTGTATGTAAAAGAATGCTACAAAGAGTATTTAGACAATCTCTTCTGTACAGGGCTTTAAGTTACAGTGAGAAATATTCAGGTTATATTTTAGGGAAACCTTTGTACTAATAAAGATACTTGAGCTGTGGAACAGATAGTCCCAGCCAGTGTGCCCATTAGCATTGGGATTAAGCTTTGTCAGCAGATGCATGGAGCCCTCCTGGACAGAAAGGAGCACACAAAAAAAGAGAAAAATAAAAGAACAAATGAAAACAAAAATTGGAGTTGATACTCAGATGGAAAAAGAAACTGTGAGGACTAAAATTGAATTCTTTGGGTCAGAGAGATGATTGGGAGACATTGGAGAGCCTGGGCCATTTGTATCATACCTTTCAGACCCAACTTTTAGGTTTCTGGCCTTTATCATACACAAAACACTCTCTGTAGTATTCCTACAGCACAGGATGAATGTGCATACACAAGCAGTTGAAGGAGGACATGGTATCTAAACTATCACAGCTGTTCCAAACTTGTACACAAACATACCTGAATTGGAATAATATCCCGCAGTTAAACTCCTAATAGCCTTCACAGTCATTTTTAAAAAATAAATTACCCTTTATTTTAAAGGTCCAGCTTCTGCTCATTGGCTGTATTTCAGAGAAAGAAGATGATTAAATACTTGTATTCTTGTGTTATTTTATAAAGCCTCTATTAATTGGAAATGAAGTGTAGATGTTTGTTACCTGCCTTATTATATAATGCTCATGTTTGAAGGTAAATTCACATCTGGTTTTGTTATTCATATATTTTTTAAAGGTATTTGAGCATGAACCGTGTTCTACACCTGGGTGGTGTTAAAGAATCGTTACCATACATTACATGTAAACCAGTGTATCTCCATTGATTCTGTAACAGTTTCGGCTGCCTGTCTTAATTGAAAATGTTCAAAGAATAGCAGCAAATCCAGAACGTTTGTAAACCCTGAAGATCAGGAAGAGAGGATATGTTACCTGCGGTGGAGCGGAACACCAGCATGGCTGTCTGTCTTGTGAAGCTCGTGCTGTGCAGTGTAGGTGTGCTTCCTTTTGTTAGTGCCTGACCTCTGACCTGTCTCAGACCATGACCTCTGTTCGAGTTGCGTTAGAAGCACCGGTCATTAAGGCCAGAGTGCTTGTGTGGGGCTGGGGCTGAGGTTAGGACAGTGCTGATTCAAGTTAGTTGTGCTGTGAAAACGTACACTTTGATCATTACTGACTGCCACTCTCCACACAAACAGAATTTTCTAGAAATGTTGTTTGTTTGTTCGTTTGTTTGTTTTTTCTGGAAATACACTGTGATGGAAACACTAGGCATAACTTGTCGTGCCTAGACACATCTGCAGACCCCAATCCAGCTGTCTTTCACATGGGTAATCTTGCAGAAGCCAGTGAAACTACAGGAGTTCTGAAAACCCCAGATGTTGGGGTTTAAAGCTGTGGAGCTCATTGTTGTATGATTGCTTTAGAAAAGACTACAGTCCTGTAATTATTTTGAGTAACTTCTCGTAGCTACTTCAGAAACTGTATATAGAGTGTCATCAAAGAACTGTTTAAAAATCTTAAATGCTGTCTTTCATGCCTACTTTTCTCAGTGTAATGATTTTATTTTGCCTTTGTCTTTTCAGGTGCCCTCCAGGACACATGATCATGGAGAACGCCTCTGGTGGACAGTGTGTCTACACTGCCTGTGCTAAAAGGCCCTGTAACTATGGTACCTGCAGCTCGCAGTCACCAACCACATTCCAATGTCCCTGCCCTGATGGCTATACTGGACGTAGCTGTGAAATCACACTGGCGATCTTTCACAAGGATACAGGCCTGAGCTTTAGTTCCATGTTTGCCATCTGCATTTGCTTTTTGGCACTGTTAGGTAGTTATGGCAACTACATCTTGTATTACCTTTGGTGAATTCATTTATCCATATTGTCCTGAACAGCTGTCATCTCTTCCTTCTGCTGAAAAACTCAGTTTCCTAATGGAGATTTGACTCTGCCTTCATTTCCTTGCCATGGTCTCAGCTCCATCAGTAACTTACTTTTCATCCCTGTGTGCATATATTGCTAAGTGAATCAACATTTGTGAGCAATGGAAAGTCTTTGCAGTTTTATTTTCTGCACATTTTCACTTCATTGCTAAGGAATTATTCAGATGTGTAAATGGAAGCAAATCGAACTGAACATCAAGAGAGGAAACTGCTACCAGATAAACATTGTTTAAAATACTACCAAGCGTGACACAATTTTCAGTCTAGGAGAAATATACTGCTGGGCAGGAATACACTTGGTCAGACAGGAGCAGTCTGTTGTGTCTTACCAGTGGTGTCACAGCTCCTAAGAGCTGCTTTTGGCTTCCTCAGCCATTTTCAGGCTTAGTCACCATATCTCAAAAAGAAGAGGAAAGAGAAAGAAGGATCTCACTAGTGAGGAAGGATCACATATTTGAGTCCTTCTTGTTCATTCAAATTTCATGAAAGTTTGCCTGAGTAAGGACATAGATTTTTCTCATGGCTTGTACAGTGTTAATGTAAGTTTCATACAGAAGTTGTAGTAAGAGTATGAAAGTGTATTGTGGACTCCTTTGAATCCATCTGTGTAGTGACCTGAAATACTGTCATTTTCCCAACTGTGCTGGATACTGTTTGCCATGCAAATATGAACAGCAAAGAATGTGGGAAGCTAACTGTTTTCACAACTTTTGGAGTCTCAGTTAGTTGAGGTTGATAACCGATCATTGTTAAATGTTTTTTGCTGTGTCAGAGCAGTTTTACTGTGAGCTGACTTTGTGTTGCTGCCTGTGCTTGACTGAACTCAACTGAAGAAACATCTTTTACCTAATAATCCTGCTAATCTTTCAGGTCTAAATTCTGAGGAAGAAACAGTTTTTAACTAAGTGGTGTGCATTGTTGTGAAAAATTTAGTATATGTGGTTAACAATGGTGTTATCGCACAATTCTAAGTTTCATTAGGATAATTTTTAATAAAATTACTTGTTCTCAAGATTTCAGATGCCCTTTCTCTTACACAGCTTCTAGAAGGTGGTAATGCCCTTTAAAGTGGTTAATTCATGCAACTTCAATTATAAATTTACAGATTTCCAATAGGTTAGACATCTGCTTTTCTGACATCTGATTACATCTTTTAAATTCAAATGTGGAACTTCCCGTTGGTTCTGGTTCAATATCTCAGGAACCCTCCACACCCCACCCTGCCAGAAGGGGACTTCAGCTCATTTTGTGCAGTTAAAGACAGTGATGCTTTGGTGCTTGCAGCTGCCCTAACACTAATGCTATGGCTCAAAGAAGCAAGAAACTTCACAGAATGCTTTTAAAGACAGCACTGTTAATGACAGCTCAGGATTGTATGATGTTGAGCAGAAGATCAGCCAGGAGCTTGTAATGTTGGTACCTGTATGGAAGAGATATTATTTTCAGTGGGGGTACTTCTGGTTTATACTCCTGTTGCACTCTTGGAACATGGGCTATATCCATTTTAAGTATTGGCTTTCTACTAGCGGTCACAGTAAAAGACAGATGTAGAACGTTAAAAGACTTGAGTATCTCAAAACTAGCTCAGCTAAAAAATGACCACCAAGATGTTACATGTGTAAAAATCTGTGTGGGGGGGCAGGGAGGAAGAGATAAATATACATTTTAAACACATTGATTCAGCTTGAAGGGTATAACTGCAGAGCACAGTGCAGGGCATAGACCTCCATGTATACCAGGTTCAGTCCCCAGCTCAACTAGATGCTGCTCTGCCGTGTATGTATTCTGTAAAAGTCCAGTCTCTTTAATTCACTGCACTGTTAGTTATGGTATCCAATGGTTTGAGGTCTTACTATGAGCTTTTATCATCTTTTATAGAGTTGGTAACAGTGGTACACAAGTTTCTATTTACACAATGTTTCTATTTACATAATTTACATGTCTGATGTTGAAGCTTTACAACTGTCAGTGTGTAAAATGCACCTATGCATTTAAGAAAAATGTTTACATTCACAGGTGCTAGAGCAAAATGCACCTGATTTTTTTTTTTTCTAGGAAAATGTATGAGTAATTTCTTTTGTGTTGTCTTGTCTTGTGGTTCATTTCTGTGTTATCTGTTACTGCCAACACATTGTTACTAAGTGCTACCCTTTTGTATACATTTTCTCCTACAAAGTTTAACTCAATACAGTAAATAGGTCTCTGAACACCACTGGTGTCAGTCAGTTCTTTAACAGCTTCAAAGTTGTACTTTAACCACTATTTTAAAATGCTCTTTAAAGGCCTTTTCTTCTGTAGCTAATGTTCACTTGTAAGTCTATTAAAGAGTGCAAAAATCAAACACCTTCTGATAAACACAAAACGAGAGCCTTGCTGGCTCTGACTGCAAACTGGTGCTGCAGTACTGGCACAGAGCGGCGGCCGTCTGAGCCATCCTGCAGCACTTCGGTATGTAAATTTTTATTTGGTTCTGAATGACATTCTGTTTTGCTCCTGTGTGTTTACACAGCTCTGGTCAGCGCTGTATGCATGGGGGCTCGCTGGAAGACTCGCAGAGATCTGAAGGGAAGAGTCTACCACATATCTGAGCATCATGAGGATTTGGATGACATCAGAGAAACTATCCGCAACTACAGCAAAGAAGGGGTGGGGAAGGAGACCAAGTAAGGCTCACTGTGTTACATTACAATTAAGAGGGGACTGGTGGTGCTCACTATGCTGAGGAAAACTATTTGATGCTTCCCTTTATAACTGAGGACTTTAGCCTTTGTTCTGCTGATTCATTACTGTAATTGGTAGATTAATTATTTGCAAGGTTATGTACACAAGGGCGCAAGTTTCTTAAGTGGAGATAAGTGTCTATCAATTTTTGTCTTAAAGCAAGTGCTCCTATGTGCATATTTAAAAATGCTCGTAGAGGGAGTTTAGCAGTAAAGAACTAACAGCTGATACTTTTGGTTTCATGGCTCAGGAGGTTCTCAGTGGTAATTACTGCTGTTGCACTGAGGCCTTGTAAGAGCCTGACATGAACTGTTTGTTCTTCATGGACAGTCTCTTTCTGGAGACTGTTTCATAACAGCAGTTACTCAGCCTTGATTTGTGAAGAAAGAGAGGTACTAGATTTGTTCCTCTTAAGCCTTAAAGCACGTGGTTGTTGTGGAAGAACCTTTCTGCATTTTCCTATTTTGGGGGGAAATACATTAATGAACACAAGCTGTGCTTATAGTAGACCGGATTATGCCCAAACCAGAGCTAACTAACATTTCTGATAGTTGTTTTAAGGGTTTCTACATATCAGTTTAAGACAGAACTTTGAAAGAAAACTGCAGATGTTATATAGAGGAGTAATTTAAATAGATTATTTGCTGACCCACAGACATGTGCTATGTTTAAAAAAGGTAAGGGACTCATTGCCACCTTTGAAACTGTTCATTTCATGGATTCAAAAGGTGGTGTGATTCTGCAGAGGTAGTAACAGCTGGCACTAATGTAATGGGTCAGAAAAAGCCAGTGATGTAAAAAAAATACTAAATGTGACCCGTCCCAAAATTCCAAATATCTCTAAGAATTTTTAGTTCTATAGTGTTTTACAAGGTCATTTGAGAAAATATTTTTACTTGTAGAGTATCCTTAATTTCTTGATGAATTGGTGTGAACATAATAAACACAGGGACATTTTCTGTGTGATAACATAGACTAGCTGTATGCATAAATCCTGTTTTCCTTAATCAACTTCCTCTGCAATACTTTGGAATTTTACACCCAGAAGGTCTATAGATTGAGGAAATCCTCATTTACTATATGACATGTTTAATTACTTTTGGAGAATTCTTAAAATACACTCCTTATTTTAAGCAGTGGAATCAAATTAGTGACTTGATGATCTTCATCCGAGGCTGTTACTCTGGAAGAAATGCTGCTTGGAGCAAGCCTCTATGGGTTTTGTACACTGTTCCTAAATTACTGAAATTTTACAGTTGCTGAGATTGCAACTAAAACTTTCCAGTACCCTTTTTATACCAAATGGTTTGTCTAGATTAAAAAAAAACAAAGTACTCAGAATACCTTAACTGTAATCTAACGTTACAAGAGGATCATGAGGCCTCTTGGAAGAGCTGACTGTGGAAATGGATGCATTTTCAGTGAACAAGAAACCCAACCTCCTTGGGTGCTGTCAGAATGCCTAGTGGCTTTAGGATGTCAGCAGACTGAAGGTCTTTCCTGTATCCAAAAAAGAACCTCCCCAGTACTGGGACTTCTAAAACTAAAATCCTATGATGAACAGAACCCTGCCAAAAATTACCATGCAAAGATGGTAATTTTCCAAAACCTGTGAATGACAGCACAGAATAATACAGAACCTCCCTCAGATACATTTTAGTAGAAAATCATCATCAATTTGGGACAGAGAAACACAGGGAAAAACTAGCAGGGTTTACAAGGGGTGGAATATTGTGCTTTAGATTGTCAGTCCCTTTTTCAGACTGTTTAATGTCCAGCTAGTATTTTGGACTTTTAAACTTGACAATATTTGGAAGAGAGAACGCTCCATAAAATTAATTTTGACTTTTTTTTTTTAATATTGAGACTTGTCTATATAAATGGAACAAAGTGCACCAAGAACACAACCTTATTCTGTGCTGTTTCTTAATATATGTAAAGAGTATATATTATCAGCTGATAATATGAATCTACCATATAGATTCCAAGATAATTTGTTTCATTAAAACAAAGCATGGAACAATATATTGTAAAAGACATTAAAAGTTCTTTGCTTACAGTTGCATCAGTAGCTTGTTTTGGGATGTCTGGCATTTTATTTTTATACATATCTTAAAAAAAAATGAAAAAGGTTAGTGCAGCCCACAGGCTGGATTAACTTGCATGTTTCCAAAATGAGAAATGTTCACACAGTATCTTGTTCTTGTGTGCATTTGTGACACACTTTGGAAAATCTTAGACCCACAGTTAACCAATGGGTACACACTGCAGATGATGTAACATTTTCATGTGGAAAAGCTAAATGCCATTTTTACCTAAGCCTCATAGTTTTGATTCACAGATGGGAGAGTCTGTGATCTTGTAATTTTACTGATACATCTACCTGTGAGGAAACATAGGCTAAAATATCTTATGGTGTTCACAGGTCAGGTACGTCAGCTTCTGTATTTTGTGATCATAGCAGACACAAACAGGATAGGAAAATGAGGTGTGTTATGCATACAAATCTATTCCTTCCACATACAGTGGTAATTGTTTCTGCATACCTCATGTTCTTTCCCTAACTGTGGCTATGCTGTCACTCTGGCTGGTTTTAATTTAATTTAGCTTGTAAGCCCCTTGGGGCAAGGATTGTCCTTATTTGCCTGTGAAGTGTCATGTGTGGCTAAGGCACTGTATAAATAATAAATAAGCCTCCTGTGTATGATGTCTCTTCCTTGCATATTTTGAAGGTAGACTAAAGCTTGGACTCTACTGAACTATTTCTCACTCAGCTTTGATCAGATACTTCTACAGACACAGGTCATGCATGCTGTTCTGGCTGAAAGGCTGAGGGAAGCTGCAGTTGTGGCTGCAACCGATGTGCAGACCCAGGCTCTAGTTACACACTCAAAAGGCACGTTTTACCATTTCTGAGTTACCCTGCAGGCTGGGGCTGGCTGGGGACACAGACCGGTACTTTCTCAGATCTTATATAGCATGGTTGTGGTTTCTGCCACAGTTAGTTGAAGAAGGAAGGAATCCTTAACTTTACATTCAGTAGAACTTCTCAAGTGGTGTTACCCAGAGGCTTATTCTCTATTCTGGGATTTTCAGTGCCAAGAAGCAGCTGGCATGTTGGACAGACCCCGTGATCCTTCATGTGCACAGTGTGTGACAGGACACGTGTACCGGCACTGGAGGGAGACGGTCAAAAGAGCTCCAGGCATGACAGGCAGGACAAACCGCAAGACTCTAATACATCCCCAAACACCCCAGTTATTTTCCTTCCTTTTCCTGCCCAGCCTCAATTGTAACGCATTCCCACGTGAATACCAGGTTGAGAGGAGTGTCACAGTTAAACCCATTACTGAGCACCTGGGAAAAAAACTTCACTCCCTCACCTTCCCCAGAATGTGCCCAAATAACCCAAAGGCAGAGTCTTCTGTGATATGGAGGTCTCAGTCCTATCTGTTGAAGCTCTTATTCTGTCCCTGACGCACTGAGTGAGGGTGGAAGTAAGCCCGGGGCCAGGCCTGGAGCTTGGTGCTGGGGCAGTGCCTGCACAGCTGCCGAGGTCCAGGCGACTCCCATTATGTTCCCAAACAGGCAACTTGGAAGCCAACCTGAAGTTGCTGCTCTACTAACCGCAGCTTCCCCCAGTGCAGCTATGGCACTGGTGTGTAAACAAACGTTAGGAACAGGAACAACCAGAACCACAGAGCTGCTTGTGTAACTGCAGTTAGCCATACGTTTCACAGAATACACTATAGGAAAGGGCAGAAAACATTTTAAAACTATTGTAGGAACTTGTGTAGATACAATCACAGTAGCAGGACATACTCATATGCAGCTGTCACGCCCTAATAAAACCTAGTTTTCCTCTTCCTAGGGATTACTAATTACTTCACTTAATTTATCTGTTTTAATTTGCATGCTGCTCTTTTAAACACTGTGCAATTTCTGAAATCGTATCTTCACTTGTTCTGCATTTACACTGACATACAGATATTTCAGTACTTCTACTAAAAGCTTATCACGGTTCAGCACTGACATCACCCAAGGACAGGACCAGCTGACTTGACAACAGGAAGCTTTGAAATGGGTGAATGAGGGAAAAAAAAAAAAAAAAAGTTTAAAAAAATTATTGGGTCCCTAGGTAGTGGGATTATCAATAATCTGGTACTTTTATTAATCTTCTTCCATGTTAAATTTAAGTAATCATGTGGATATTATTATTTAATCTGTCTGCCTCTCAACTACATTAATCTTTGTGTTTCACCTCTTTTAAAATAACATTTCAAGCATATGACACGTAGCCAAGCCATAGGAAAGCTGGTTGTTAGATCTGACCTACTGGCTAGTACCAGCCACCAGAATGCCTAAACTTATAAAAACTTACCTATACCAGGACATTCCAATTCAAATAAAGCACTTGATAAATGTAATTTTTCTCTCTCAAAAGAATGCATGTTTCTCTCCATTGAGTAGGAATACTAAAGCTTGAGCTACAATGGGGAAACAAGCAGATCCCCACTGGTCAAAGCAAATTATATTGATGTAAATGGAGTGACTGCCTCAGTCCAGTGAACCTGCTAGAGTTAAAGCGTGTTGGGTGGTAAGTGCTGACAGACCTTCACCTTGTAACAGAGAAAGGAAGTCCAGCAAAAACACAAAAAAATTCAAAAAGTCAGTGATACATGTAATATAACAAACTTGAGAAAGGCAAAACTTGCTGCTTGAGAAATACTTTGCTTTCCTCCATATGGACTGAAACAAAGTTGATTCCCTAATTGCACCCTTCTCAATCCATCCCCACATAAAACCCAAAAAAGTGATTTTCAAATTACACAATTTATTTAGTATACAACAGTCATTACATCTCTTTACAACAACATACTATAAAATAACTATGTTAGATCTCACTGGCAGACATTGAAACAAGAATTGAAAATACACTTGTAGATCTCAAAGGCCTTTCTCCCCTAAAAACATTCTGGCTACTTGATAACATTTTGTCTCTGCAATTTAAAAAAAGTAGATCATACCACAGTTCCACTGATAACGCACAGCTCAAAGGTCCTCACAGACAAGAGGTAACACAGACAAGAAGTCATGATGTGCTGTTCCCAGGGGTATTTATTTGTGGGACTGCAGTAAATGCATTGCCAGGGCAGCTGCTCCTGGGGTGGGTCAAATGAAACAGTGATGCCACAGCAACTGCTTGGAAATCAGGTGCATCAGGATGATGTAGCCCAGGAACAGGTGAAGTTATTTAAGAAAAAATTGCACACTTTTAAGGCAGTGAATGTAAATCATAGCAAGACACGGGAAGTAGAAAAGAATTACCAGGCAGATAAACCACCACCTACCTCCTAAACTTCTCAGACTCTTGCACCCCACAGCTAGGAAGAGCACACACAGCCCTTTCCACCACCTGCCCCAGAGCCTCGTGCCTCAGCCAGCCCCAACTACTCACCTGCTTTGCTCGGGCCAAGCCTTTAAATGAGAGGCAGAGAAGCAGCTGCTCCTCTCTCCAAGGGCTGTGCTGAGGTGTGTGCTGCTTTCCTCTGAGCTGGTAAGTGATTTTGTTCCTTGGCATTTTCTATTTTACTGTTTTAAGGAGATTGATCTTCTGAACACTGTACTACATAGTCACTGAAACATACTCTTTCCTTTAATATTGGATCTTTCAGACACAGGAACCATTAGAATTGTTTAAAACTGCCACAAGCTTCCTAGGCTTTAAAGACTGAACTGCAAGAGTTAAGCAATCTCCAAAATACTTCATATCTCAAAC